TAAAACTTATTTTAGTTTCAAGATTATAAGCAAAAGTTAATTGAAATGAAAACACAAAGCAAAATGACAGTAGGAAGTTATTCTCAAATCTATCCCATTTACTTTTCAGGTAGATACAATTTATATTAAACATCTGGGTTTTTTTTTTGTTTTGAGTACCAAAAAAGAAATAATAAATTTAAGTGATGTGATTGAATGATATTTCAGTTTTAAATACTAGATGTAAATTTGGTAATTTCTGGCAGTTCTTACAAAAATGACCAAGTTCTAAGCCAAAAATCATTTGTTTCTGACAACACATTATGAGTTATTTGGACACCTAATGTTATGAAAAGGGAAGAACATTTTCTTAACCTCAAGCCTACTTTATAAATGGGGATCCAGACTTGGAATTATGAGTTGCTGGAATGCATTACATCGTATGTGATTGTGAAATCTCTTTTTTAATGATTTTTAAGAGGGGATAAACAACCGAATCTCTGGAATGGTTGTGGCTAATTTTGCCAAAAAGCCAGAGAAAGACTGGATGACCTTTGGAGCCCTACTCAGTCTGTGATCAAATTTACTGAAATTTGAAAACTTGTTTTTCTGAGATGCAGGGTCCAGTATTATTCTGGTCCAGTCCAGTTACAGAATTCAACTGGAAATGGATGATATGCATACTTGTAAATATTATTCACACTTAAGTTCATTTAACACTTAAATACCTAAATTCATGAAGTATGTCATATTCTTGAGTCAGTATATTACATATTAAATTCATTTAGGTCTCATGATAAGTGCTGTATCAGACGCTGGAAGGTAAATGACTGATTTTTTCTATTTGTTGCTTACTAATGAAAAGCAAAGTGTCAAAAATATAGGGATTCTTTAATATTTGTGTTTGCCATCCTAATCACTGCCATGTTATTTTAATTTTAAAGGGATGACTGGAAACCATACAAGCTTAGACGACTATACTTTATCTGGGTATGCCGAGATATCCAGTCCTTCTGTTGGTTTGCAGACTTACTCTGTGTGTTGCATAACAAGGTAACATTAAGGTTGTTTCTGGTTTTGCAATTTTTCAAATTAAAAACAATTATATCTTTTATATTACAAAAGCAATGAATGTTTGCTATAGAATAAACTATAGAAATTATGCAAGTAGTAGCAAGGAAAGAAATAAGTCTCTTAAACAGAAAAAATCAGAGATAATATCTGTTAGCAATTAGGTGCACATCTTTTCAGATATGGATATTTGTGAGGATGCATGTATATATATATATATAACATATTTTAACATAGAGACGTTAATTTCTATGTTTTAACATAGAGTGTTTCACGTAGAAATGTATGCATATGGCTGGAAGACGATGAAGGGAAATACCAGAATACACCTGCTCTAACATCTTCCATGCTTTGTTCTGATAGCGCTTATCCTTGATTGCCATCTTTAATACTTCAGATCACCAGACTTTTTGGTATACAACACAAAAATCTCAAAAATCCCAAATTCTGTGTTTTAATTTTTAGAGATAAAGCAGGCATCTTTATCTATCCTATCTGTAACATTTGATCTATTTATCTTTATTCAAATTATACAAGTAACACACCTATACATTTTTGCTACAAATATTTCAAACAATTATGGTAAAGTAAAATCCTCTCTTACTACCTTCCCTACCTAATCTGTGTAAACAGAGGTAACTCTTAAGTGTTCTGTAAGTCCTATCATACTATTTATGTTATTTATGCAAATTCCTTTTTCAGTATATTACTACGTCTTGAGTAAAGCAGCATAAACAGTAGAGAGTGTGTTAATTTACATTGCTTGTTGAGGAATACCCAACAGACAAAATGCCATTTGAACAGACTTGACTGAAGTGAATGAGCAGACTAGACACATACTTTGGAGAAAAAAAATTCAAGATAGACAAACCTAACTTCACAGGCAAGGTCCCTGATGCAGCAGTATACTTGATGTCCTGGAAGAGGGGAAAGGTGGTCTTTGTGAGTGAAGCAAAATAAGCAAGGGGAAGAATAGTAGGAAAGGCAATTAGAAAGGTGGCGTCTACTTTTTCTGGGAAGAGGCAGATTACATAAGGCCTTCAGACTTTATGCAAATAAATAAATAAATAAAAAGATTGGTTCTGGGTATATACCTAGAATAATTAAAAGCAGGGAATTGCAGATATTTGTATGCAAATGCCCATAGAAGTATTATTCACAATAGCCAAAGGATGGAAGCAACCTAAATATTCATCAAGAAATGAATAGATAAACAAACTGTGGTGTACACATACAATGTAATATTATTCAGCCTTAAAAAGGAAGGAAATTCTGACACATACCTCATCGGGGAACTTTGAAGACATAAAGCTAACTGAATTAAGCTAGACACAAAAGAACAAATATATTATGCTTCCACTTATAGGAAGTACCTAGAATAGTTTAATTTGTAGAGAAAGGAGGTAGAATAGAATATGCATCATTGCTAAAAAAGAAATTGTAGGCCGGGCGCGGTAGCTGAAGCCTGTAATCCCAGCACTTTGGGAGGCCGAGGCGGGTGGATCACGAGGTCAAGAGATCAAGGCCATCCTGGTCAACATGGTGAAACCCCGTCTCTACTAAAAATACAAAAAACATTAGTTGGGCATGGTGGTGCGTGCCTGTAATCCCAGCTACTCAGGAGGTTGAGGCAGGAGAATTGCCTGAACCCAGGAGGCGGAGGTTGCGGTGAGCCGAGATCGCACCATTGCACTCCAGCCTGGGTAACAAGAGCGAAACTCTGTCTCAAAAAAAAAAAATAAAATTGTAAATAATTCAGATACAGTAAAATCCTTTCAGGTTACCAGAGCCTTCAGGGAAGGGGAAATGAGGAATTGTTGATCCATATGTTTTTTCTAGACTATTTATTTTTGCAGGTATGTTTTTGCCTCATGCATTTTTGTACACAAGAAACCAGAGCCCCTTGCTGAATAAGCAGAAGGCAAGATCAGGAAAAAGCATTTATTTTTTTTTGTTATTTGTTTTGTTTTATATTTGCTAGCATGCATAAGCTAAATCACTATTGTCTTTTCTTTTTTCTAAAGAAAATCATGTTCATGATGAGTAAACTGGTAACATTTTGAGACTTTTAAGAATAAAATAAGGAGTATTTCAGAAGGACTAATATTTGAGAATATTTGTATACCATTTAGCATGCTAAATTTTGTATCTATAAAGATAACAGAGAACTATTCCCTACCACTACCACGATCAGACCTAATTCATACCAAGAGGCCAGATTGTTAATGTTAGATCTGTTATATATATATTTGTGCGTATGTATATTGAATTTAACACAACCTAGCTTATCATAGTCAATATCTATCAGAAAACGAATATATATATATTTCATATTACAAAAGCAATATATATATATATTGCTTTTGTAATATGAACTATATTGCTTTTGTTATATATATATATATATATATATATATATATATATATTCCTTTTCTGATAGATAATGACTGTGATAACCTAGGTTGTGTTAAATTCTAGAATCACTTATGTTAGAATAGGAGAAAATCTGAGTATGCCCACAGAATTTCAATAAGACTATTCCTTTTTCTGTCCTCTCAGTTTTGGCAAGAGAACAGACCTGACTATGTCAACATCCAGCTGTACCTCAGTCGAACAGATGGGATACAGGTATGTGGTTGAATGTTACTGTAAATTAAACAATTCTCTTGATAATAGATTTACTGTAGGAGCTGTGGTGGAAGAAAATTCCTGCAGGTGGTTTGAACAGTTTCTTAGCGCAAGGGCTCCTGTGGAATATGTCCAGAAAACTGATGGCTTGTCCTTGAAGTCAACCATATTTTGCCTTCCATTTGTCCTTCTCACAAGGGGCTGGAACAGACCTTTTGAGTCTGCCCCTTCCCTCTTCACTATCATCACCTCAAGTTCTTTACTTCTGAAATTCAGACTACACATGAACAGCTTGTGATTTCTTTTTATTGAGGGGATGTTTTATGTGGAGAGAGAAGATGAGTTTGCACACAATTAAGCTTATTTCTAGCCAAGGAAAACTAACAGTAATAATAGCTACCACGAATTGTTTATTTACTGTTCTAGGCACTGTGCTAAGAATTTCAATTTCACTTATATTAGTTTATGTAATAAAAACAGAGTCAAGCAGTAGATGATATTCCCATTTTGCAGATGATGAAACTAATATTTGAAGAGAGCATTGAAGAGCTGGACTGGTGTAGAAATCTAGGCATTCATTTGCTTTTGCAAATTTTATTTTAGTACTTTTGTCATACATTTTCAGAATACTTTGAATACAAAATATTAATGTTTGTCAATTACCTCAAAACTAATCTAACCCTAATTTTTCCAGTCTGATTTCTACCCTACTTGGCATGTAAAATATATTTCATTTTACTACTCTCATGAAGTAAGTCAATATCACTTTTCCTCCTCGTATTGCTGTAATGAAGGGCTGAAGCATAATTTGCATTTGGTTCTCAGTTTGCCTGCCTGAGACTCAGACTCTTCCTCCTTTCTCTGCATTTCACTCTGACTCTTCACATTGATTCAGATCTAATGCTCTGTTAGTTGCAAACAGGAGCCCATTATCAGCCATTTGTCGATAGACCCAATTTTGAAGTTCTGCTGTCTTGAGCTGTCTTGTCTAGGATCATTTCCCCAAATTTACAATGACAGTTTGTAGTATTTACTCATATAATGAGCCAAATATAACAACTGTATTCCTGGTGGCCAAATACTTCAATGAAGTTAGTGTGCTGAGCCTTTTTGAGAGTGAGCAATTAGAACTCATTTTTTGTCTTGCAATGCAGTTCTTTAAAGATGAAGCAACAAACTGAAGTCTAAGAAAATTAGCCGTTTGTCAGACTGGCATTCAAGGAGATTAGTTCTAACAATTAGTTCTCACAATTAATTCATTTAAAAATCAAATTTTTTACCTTTTTACCAGAATGATTTTTTTTTGTTTGTTTGTTTAAAAACAAACATGGAATTCAAGGAGATAATGGATTTTAAAGGAAAAGATAAAGGAAATGATACATTGAAATAATTGTATGAAATAGGTTGTCATTTGATACTTAACATTCTTTATATCACAGCAGTTTGGTGGGAAATCACAGCACCAGCAGAAATGATGTTAGAGAAATAGGTTACTTATCTAAATCTTGAATAATGTAGTGTTTTCTTTTTGGCAAAAGAGAATTGGAGAAAAATATCACATACTGAATTCAAGACTTTTTATTGGACGTCCTCGGTGGAAACTTCTGTTTGATGAAATAGCAAAATGTAACAGAGGGTAAGTTCTATACCTCAAAAATTTGACATGAGGCTAATAAATTAATTAAAATATTTTCAAATATTTACATGAAGTTTAAAAAGTGAATTGGCAATGAGTTTACAAATGACAAATTCACTGAAACACTCTTTCACTATCAAAGATGGAAGTAAGACAGGTATTGCCCTACATTTCTGTAATTCCAAATAATTAAAGTTTGACTTAGAAATGGCATATAATGTATTTATGAGCTCAACTCTCCCACCTGATTATATATTTGTATAGGCCTGTATTAAAAATCAGTATTCATTCTCACAGCATGTATCAGGTGATCATGGGAAAAGCTTTCAAAATCATGTTTGCAAACAAAGAATTCACATTAGTTCTAACAATGAATTCATTTAAAAATCACATTTTTGTACCTTTTTACAAGAATGAATATGTATTTTTTGTTCATTAAAAATTTTTTTTGTGTGTGTTGTATTATGCAGTCTTTAAATCTGGAATATTTCCAAATATATTATTTAGAAACTATAATTGTATAAAGAGTCTTGTTCTTATAGACTATGTGTTCATAATCTGAAGAAATTACTATGGAAGGAAAGCTTCCATTTCATTTTAGGGCACAGACCAGTCAGCCCATTTGTCTTTTGTAAATTTATCATAGTGCAGAGAACTGATCTATAAGAATTCTAAGAAGATTTTGAAAACTGTATAACGACTGACGTATTTTTAGGTTTGCATCTAAATAGTTTCATCATAAGTTTAAATAGTTGCAAAAGATATTGACATTTGTAATTAACGTAATTTCTTGTAACATATCCACTGGAATATAAATATAGCTAGATGATACTAATGTCATTTATTACAAAAATATATAAACTCTTAGCAGTTGGATATTTTACATCATCCTTTTTCTTTCATTTAACTTGTATTTCTTTCCCATTAGCGCATATGATTTATATATTTTTTCATTTGAACTAATCATATTTTTATTGCTAACTTAATTCTAATCATACTTCTACAATAAGAATGCACATAAATATTTTATTTGAAAATTTCCTGTAAACATAGACTCCGGTATTATTTTTTACTTCTAGCTTGAGTTATCATTACAATTATTAGTATACAGTTGACCACTTCATAAATTTTAAAATATGTTCTTATAAACATCAAAAGGATATTTGATTATAAATGCACAAGCCAACTTATTAAATGTATATATTTTTAAAAATCCAATTTAGGAACTGGTGGATGAATGTTATTTATTGAAGGCATCATTGATTCAAGATGGCTCCTATCTCTACCTTCAAAGATTTTGTTTTAGAAATTACAGAATGGGTCCTGGGAAGTGAAATTTAAAAAGGAATAAAGTTACCCAAGTGATTCAGATTACAGCCATGTTTAAACTACTTTTGTAGTATTTCCCTTCCCTTGATGAATTAGTTTTGGGATGAAAATGTAAGCATGCTTTACAAAGCAGAAGTTCTTTGTAATGTTCAGAGTTGAAATTAGAAAAAAATGATATGAACCAACTTTTGGCCATCTTCCTTTCCCATCTTTCTCCAATAACAAGTCATCTTCGATGTGGTGATCTTGTCATACTCATCTGTCTCTTGTTATGCATTGCAGACATGTTCCTCTTAATAGTGGCATTTACTGACTTCTGAGAAGAATTTTTTTTTGTAGATTTTCACAGTATATTGCTGAGAACTGAGAGTTTCTTTGGCTGAATTCAGAAACCAAATCCATAAAAAGCAGGTTATTTACAGGGAAATAGATATTGAAGCTGTTGGTTCCTACAGTTAGTTCTCAAGAAGTCTCGTTTGTTAGGCTGTTTGTGTTTTAGAGTGATTTGTGTGTGTGTGTGTGTGTGTGTGTGTGTGTGTGTGTGATTTGGTAGTTCATTCTTTTTCTGGAAAAAATGGAAAAGTGGTTTAAGAAGAGCAAATGTGCACCATCTGCTGTTGACATTTTGTGCAACACTTTGACTTTTGACTTTGTGTGTTGGTTCTCAGGCAGTTGCCTGAAATGCATTAAAATTTTTTTTGAAGGACTTTTATATAGCCTACTTAGGAGAAGAATGGATCAACATTCTTAAGGTTTCTTTAACTGGACAAAGGCACTGTGTAAATGAACGATTTCATTTAAGATGTAGCATTTAAATTAACCTCATGCACATAAATTGCTGAAAGCATATAAAGATTATAGCAGGGAAGACAGGCATATAAGTTGAACTTTTAAAATATAATATTTTGGGCAACACTTTTTAACTTTCAGAAACTGATTATTTATTAAACCAGCAGGCATTAGTGTACTATACTATGTAGAATACAAATTTAAATTGGATTAAACACTGCTGGTCCAGAGGTAATGATTGGTAAGTCTTTGTTATGTATTCTTACAGAAGCTTATGTAAGTTTGTGTGTGAGTGTGTGTGTTTGTAGAATAGTATATGTAAACCTACGTATGTGCAGGCGTTCATGCGTGTGTGTGTGTGTGTGTGTGTGTGTGTGTGTACCATATATATTTAAAATCTAATCCTTGGTTTTCTAATAAAAATAGAATCTATAACAACGAATTCTTCAACTTCCTTTGTTGTCATTGTTTTCTTTTTTTCTTGGCTATGCTAGGAGGAACCAACTAATTTTTAATGATGTACTTGTTTTGATCATAGACAATTTCTGAGTAATTGTACCTCACAGTATTCCAGAGTATGAACAACATGACTGTTACTACCCTAATTATTTATATTTAGGTTACTTTTATTTCCTTACAGTTAAAAACAGTGCTGTAGTAATTATCTTTGTACATACTTTCTTATGTGAGAATATTGCAGTAGATTAAGATCTTTGAGTGGGAATGCTCAACAGGTATACACATTTAGGTACTGCTTTACAAAAGCTAAAACTCAGAATTAATTTACTTTCCACATGTATATGACAGTCGCTCTTTTGTTGCCTTTTTAAATTCAGAAAATGAATTATGTGATGGTGCGATATGATCATGGAAAGCGAAGGAGCTTTTGGAGTCAACATGCCTTCATCTTTATTTTATAAATGAAGAAGCTAAGACTTCAAAATATAATGATTTATCAAAAGCCACAGTCAATGAGCCAGAATGCAGATATGAACGCTAATCTCCTGACTGCAAGCTCATTGTGCTTTACCACAGGACATAGTCAGCTCGTCACAGATAAAGGATAGCAATCTTATTTTACCGTGATCCCTTTAGGTGGGAGGGAGGGAGGTGCTGCATATTCATATTCATATCCCATATTCACTATGAATGCTGCAGCAATTTTTTTTGTAATAGAGATATTCTAAATATTATGTTGCAAACCATTTAGTGTTTAATAACCTGTCAGAAAATTATTTGTTATATCTAACCCAAATTTGGTTTCCTATTGTTTGTAATTAAAATGTATATCATGCTTTGAGCTGTGAAGTTTATGCATTATGCAAAAAGAGAAAGAAAAGTTGAACTTTATTGGGCTTTTTGAGTAGAGAATTATTACTCTGGGATTAAGTGAAATGTTTGAGATTATTTTACTGCCTTGTAGTGTTCTCAAACAAGACAAGTTTAGAAGAACTAGGTTTAGTCTCTCATATTTACTCCTGTGACCTTGAGTCTAGCGACTCAGTCCTCCTGGATCTGTAATACAAGGAGTGAATAAGCTGTCTGGAGTGAGTAAGTCCTCATTACTTAAGATTCTGCATTTACCAGTCTACATGAAAAGCAAGTATGAATATTCATGGAACTTGTTTCTAGTATCTACCCCGCAAACCACATTTTCTACTTAGTACCCAAATCTACCTCCACCCATTCCATCAAAGATTATGTAGACAAATCTCCAGATAATTGTTGGATTGCAGTACTGTAATGCAAATTTAGTACAAATGAATTGCAAAGAGTCCTTGTAGAAATCAGAAAAAAAAAAAGTAAGCTATCATTAAGTTAGTGAGAGTGATGTTAGGGAATTCTTCAGATCACACACAGACACACAAAGGATATCAGCGTTAAAGTGGTTAATAATTGTAAATGAAACTTAAAGATAACAGCTAGAAAATCATGATATCCTGGGTGGTTTAAAAATAATGATTTTTATTATTGTTATTTATTTTATAATTAATACTTGATTTTATTATTATTAAAGAAGTACCTTTAGGAAATCTGCAAAACTTGCCAAGCTAACTCTATAATTGTCCAGTCAAAGCCAATCAACAAAATAATGGTATCCTGTTGCCGTCATACAGTGTTGACAGAAAGTTTATACAAAGAAACAAAATGGCTCAATTCTCTTTTCATTTTAATGGAAGCTACATTATAGTTTCAATAATAATTTAAATTGTATTAAGTATAACATCATTCATTTTCATGTATTTTTATTTCTTTTGCTCACTTTGGGTTTAATTACCTTTTTCTTTTTTTTTGTTTCTTAAAATGGAAACATAGGTCATTGATTTCAGATCTTTTTTTCCTAATAAAAGAGTTTGATGCTACATGTTTTACTTTAAACACCACTTTTGCTAAATAAATTTTGATTTGTTTGTTTGCATTTTCATCTCATTCAAAATATTTTTTATTTTTTATGTTATTTTTTCTTTGACCCATGGATTATTTAGAAATGTTTAATTTCCAAATATGCAGAAATTTTCCAGATATCTTTTTGTTCTTAATTTCTAGTTCAATTGAGATTTGATCTAAAAACAAACTCCTTGTAATTTTAATTCCTTAAAATGTATTGACACCTGTTTTATTGCCCAAAATATGTTCAAGCTCAGTGAACATTCCATATTCACTTAAAAAGAATTTGTATTCCATCATTGTTAGATAGAGCATTCTATAAATGCCAATTGGTTCCGATAGGTTAATAGTGGTGTTCAAGTTTTCAGTATACTTACTGAATTTCTGTCTGCTTGTATTAATTACTGAGAGAAGAGTATTGAAATCATCAACCATAATTATGAATTTATCTGTTTTTGCAGTTCCATCAATTTTTCCTTTATGTATGTTGAAGCTTTTTAATTTCAGTGTTTAAATCATTTACATTTAATATGATGAAAATATGGTTGGGTTTAAATCTGGCAGTTCACCATTGCTTTGTGCTTATCTATTTGTTCTTTTTTTCTGTTTTATTTTTCTACCTTGATTTGGGCTGAGTATTATTTATGATTCCAATTTTCTCTAATATTAGCTATACCTCTGTATTTTTTTTTCTTTTTAGTAATTGCTTTAGGTCATTGGTTTCTAAACCGCATTTTTTTGACTAGCAACAATTGGAATCTTGTTAGAAAAGCAAATTCTTGAGCCCTATCCAAGATCTGCCAAATCAGAAACTATAGGGATGGGGAGACCTAGCTCTTTGTGTTCTATGAAGTCTCTCAAATGATTCTTATGAGGCCAAAATTATTGAAACATTGTTCTAGATTTACAGTGTACATCATTAGCTTATCACAGCCTATTTTATTTTTTATCTTTATATTTATTTTTATTTTTTAGTTTCTCTGTTGCCTAGGCCAGAATGCAATGACAGGATCATGGCTCACTGCAACCTTGAATTCCTGGGCTCAAGAGCTCTTCCCACCTCAGTCTCTTGAGTAGCTAGAACTACAGTTGCATACCACCATGCTCAGCTAATTTTTTAAATGTTGTGTAGGAATGGGATCTCACTATGTTGGCCAGGCTGGTACTTTGAATAATATTATAACACTTCAGGTACTTCCATTTACATCCATACTTTTGCTATTGTTGTCATTCATCTTACATATACATATCTTATAATTCTCATTATTAGTATTTTTGTTTTAAACATCAAGCATATATTTAAAAGATTAGAAATTAGAAAAAGTACATATTTATTTTATATTTACTCACAGATTTTATTACTTTTGTGTTCTTCTTTCCTTTAGTTAGATTCAAATGTCCATCTAATTTATTTTTTCTGCTTCTTGAGGAGTTTTCTTTAATATACCTTATAGTGCTGGTTAGCTGGCAATAAATTCAGCTTGTGTTTGTATAAAAAGTTTGTATTCCATCTTTATTTCTCAAAAAAAATTTTTGTTTGACATAAAATTTTCTTGGTATATAATAGTGATGTTGTGTTTTATATTTTTAGTACTTTGAAAATATCATTTCGTTGCATTCTGACTTGCATGGTTTATGGCAAGAAGTTCACGTTCATTCTTATATTTCTTTCTTATATTTTCTGTTGATGATTTGTAATGTGTCTTTTCCCTCAGCCTGTTTGGTTTTATGTTCTTCTTTTTGTCAGTTGCTTTTAGCATTTTATTATCAATTGCCTTGGTACAGTTTTCTTTGTGTTTATTCTCCTTGAAATTTATGAGCTCTTTTATTTTTTTTCTTTTCCCTTGGTCTTCTGTCATGCTGGACTGCAATTACATGTATTTTCGACTACTTGATATTGTCCCACGAGCCACTGATGCTCTATNTTTTTTCAGTTTTGTTCTCTGTGGGCTTCAATTTGGATAGATTCTAATGCTCTTTCTTCAAGTTTACTTTTTCTTTGACAATGCCTATTCTTTTATTAACTCATCTAGTGTGTTTATCACTGCAAATATTGCATTCCATCTCTAGAATTTATGTTGGGTCTTAAAAAATATTTCATTTATCTTCTCATCTTGGTGACGCTTTTCTTTGAATATATGAAGCCTGTATATCCTGTTTCAAAGACCATGTATGTCTGCCCTCTCTGTCATTCTGGGCCTTTTTCTGTTGAATGCTCTTTCTCCTTGTATTAGTTTGCCATAGCTGCCATAGCAATATACCACAGACTGGGTGGATTAAACAACAGAAATTTATTTTCTCATAGTTCTGGGGACTGGAAGTTTAAGATCAAGAAGCTGGCAGAACTGGTTTCCTGAGATTTCTCTCCTCGGCTTGCAGATGGCTGTGATCCCAATGCTTCTTCACAAGGCTTTTTCTCCATGCATGCACATCCCTGGTGTCTCTTTTTGTGTTCAAATTACTTCTTATAAGTTCACCATTCAGACTGGATTAGGCCCTACCCTGGTAGCCTCATTTTAACTTAAATTGCCTCCTTAAAAGCCTTACCTCCAAATATAGTCACATCCTGAGGCACTGAGGTTTAGGGCTTCAACCTATGGGTTTTGGAGGGGCATACTTCAGCCCATAACACTCTTAGTTATAGCTTATATTTTCTTACTTTTTGCATTCCTGGCATTTTTTAAATTAAATTCTGTATATTTTAAAGTTTAAATATTAGATGTCAAATTTTGATTGATTGATTGATTTAAATAGTGTTGGGCTTGTTCTGGCATGCAGTTATGTTACTTGGGTTCAGGTTCATCTTTACAAGGCTCACTTCTAAGATTTGTTAGTGCAGGTCCAGAGCAGCCTTCTGTCCAAGGCTAATTTTACTAATATCCTCCCTACTCCTTACAAATAAGGTGACACCTTTCTAAGACTACAACCCATTGCCCATGTATTTATGGGGGTTTCTATTCTGGAGGATGGGAATACAAATTATTTGCAGACCTGTGTAAAGTCTGGCAATTGTTTGAACTTTTGATCTCTGATAGCTCTTTATTCATGAAGTTTCTTCTCATATACAGATTATTAATCAATCGAAGACTTGAGGATTCTCCTCTACCAATGTCCGAGGCTTCTTTCTGTGATCTCCCTTCCCTTCCATATTCTGCTCCACAAATTCCAGCTGTTTTGGCCTCAATGAACTCCATTCTTTGTCCCCTCAGTGTAATCATCAATCTTTGCCTGAGTTCCCCCTCTCTGTGCTGCAGCTGGTAGAGGTAGTTTACCTCCAGGCCATAAGCAGATACAGTGACTGCACTTAGCTTGTCTTCTTTCCTTTTCTCAGGGATCATAGCTCCATGCTACCTATTATTCAGTATCTGAAAATACTTATTTCATATATTTTGTTTGCTTTTTTCTAGATTTTTAATGGAAGGGGGTATATCTAGTCCTTCTTACCCCATCTTGACTGCAAGTAAAATTCTGTTTTCATAGCTTTTAGTTTCGTTTTTTCAAGGTAAAAAGTTTGACTAAAATATTTTTTTCGGTATTTACTATTAATTTTTAGTACCAATTTTAATGGATTCAGTGTCTTTTATTCAGCACTAATTATTCTAAGATAATTAAGAAATACTGGAGTTTTCAAGATATGATATGAAATATTAATCATTTTGACATCCAAAGAAGAATCAAATGCAAATCAACAAACTTGGGAGGAAGGTCAATTTGAAATATTATTCATTTGCTGAGATTTATTTAGTCTATTTGTCAGAGATATGTCTTATTTCACTACTAAATTTTATATTAGAGAATAATTAAAGCTGCTTGGCATTTGTTGCCATTATTGCAATGCATACATAAAAAACAATTAGATGAATATGTTTTTTGTTTACTGTGAATGTAAATTATTCACTTAAAATTATTATTTCAAATTGGTAATATCTTTTTGCTTTCCTTCCTTATTCATCACTGCTTTTGGAAATCCATGTAGGAACTTTAGATAACTATGTGTAAAATGTCTAATAAAAGAAGAATTTACGTTGTCCAGTGTGGACTGAACATCTATTTAGATGTCAGCTGATTAGCAGTTGACATCTATCAACTGCTGACTTTAAACCATGCTCATAAAGCATACTTCTTGTTATGTTCTAATTTTACACCTGATTTTCTGTTTCCCCCTCTCTTGTTCTAGGAAAACAGTTGGTGTTTTCTGTTGTGGGCCCAATTCACTATCCAAGACTCTTCATAAGCTGAGTAACCAGAACAACTCATATGGGACAAGATTTGAATACAATAAAGAGTCTTTCAGCTGAAAATCCTTGCCATGAAGCAGGACTTTAAGGAAGGAATGAGTGCAATTTCTAAGACTTTGAAACTCAGTGGAATCAAACAGCTGTGTTATGCCAAAGAGTAGCAAGGTTTTCTTATTTATGATTATTTAAAATGGAAGTGTGAGAATGTGGCAAGATGAGTGGTCACATTACATGTTTAATCTGGAAACCAAAGAGACACTGAAGAATATTTGATGTGATGATTCACTTCTCAGTTCTCAAATTAAAGGAAAACTATTAGATGCACACTGTTGATTTTTATGGTGGATTTAAGAACTCCCTAGTGAGGAGCTGAACTTGCTCAATCTCAGGCTGATCATCTTGTTCCTCTTTATATTGTTTTTGGTTGCACAAATGCAAGATTGAACAAAATTAAAAATTCATTGAAGCTCAAATTCCATTTTCTATGTTGTATATAAACAGAGTAGCTTTAACTTGCAAGCACTCCAGGCAAATATATTAGATGTTTGAAAACACAGCACAAGACTCTGTACTGATACGGGTACTTTGTGTCAATATCTAATTGTCTCTACTATTTATGCTAATACCTCTATTTGATATCTGTAGACTATATGCTAACTGAACCTTCCTCAAATGTTGTTATAGTATCCAATTATATATTTTTTTTCTTTTTATTCCTCTCTCTAGGGAAATATGCCTTCCCTTAGCATGCATTAGACATAATGATTTAATAAGTCCTTTTCATCTTTAATTTATTTAATCTATCACTATTGCATGGAAAGGAAAATATCCCTACTATAAATTATAAAGACATATATATACTGAGTTTTTCCTTTTTCAGCATTTTTGTCTTTATTATTATTATTTCATTTTTTTCACAGGTACGATTTGTCTTAGGCTGTATCCTCTTAGGATACTTAGTTAATTTGCACTTTGAGACCAAAGGACATTATGTCTGTCGGTAGGCACTGAATATAAGATTTATCTCCTTTGTCACACATTGGTTTATGATGGATATATTGAAAGTATAGTCATATTCCTGAACAGTAAAACCTGTATTTTACCTTCTACATAAAAGGAAATACAGTATTCTTATTCAAATTTAAGTTTATAATCCAGAATATTATTGTTGCACTTTTTGGTATCCTGAGCTTCCATAGGGAACTATTGGGTTTAAAGTCACTGTTGGAACTACACTGTGTGATCTTATCATTTTCTGTTCCCTGTCTATCATATTCTTGGCTCAGAACAATATTCCCCATTACTATCTTAAGAATTAAGGGATTCGTATGATTTAGTGATTTTGTTTGGGAGTCAACTGTCAATTTCTATCAAATATAACACATTGCTGAAATCAGCAGTGTGACTTGCCTTGCCATTGTTAAATTGTTACATAAAACATAACATGGTAGATGCAACTGTCATTTTTTGCTATAATTCATCAATAGCAATCAAGCATGCTAACCCATATTGAATGATATTTACTTGTTGGTATTTCTTCCTCTCCCTGGAGTTCTCATTTCTTTGGAAAGAAGATGAATCCACAAAAGTGATGGGAAATGTGCAATGTTCATACAGATTTAGCTCTGAAGGCATATTTAATAATAAGTACGTCTTGACAACATTTTCTAGATTAAAAAGAATTTTCATGAAAATGTGTAACAGAAAGAACTAGTAGAAAGAAACTTTGAGTTAGTCCAGGCTTAATGTCCAATACTGACTCTATACTGATCATACTTTATGTGATTACATTAATGTATCTAATTTCAATAAAACAGGTAGAAGATTTTTCAAAAGAAAGATGATGTTTCAAAGCCAGTCTGCTGTTCTAGATGAACCTCCTGGCTTATTTAAGTTCCAGTAGGTGTTCAAATGTTAAATGTTAACATAGGTCATTTTTGCTTCTACAGCGCTTCCTTCATCTTGCATGTTTAAGAGAAATTTGTTTTATTTTGAGGAATTATTTCTCTGGGGACAGTTCTTAAAATATAAGCCTTAAAGTCACTGATTTTATTAGCAATAAATGTTAAAATTGAAATGGTGTCCTTGAAATTTCTGTAAGCTCACTCTAACTTTGAAACAAATAAAGCCTCAACATTTGTTCACAGGACGATGCAAGTTTAAGAAAAACACACTACATCTCAGGAATTAGCATTTAAGTGTACACTAGCATGAGAAGCCTTAGGAATTTGAGTTCTGGAACTTTCAATGTTACAGTCTAATGGCGTGACTAAGGCAAATTACTTCTCATACATAGATTAAAATGTATCATTTGGATTAGATCAGTAATTATTAATTTTTTGGATAATGTATCTTTTTGAGAATCTGATTAAAATGCACAGTGTGATATATAGCACATCCCTATAACTTTGGGGAACCTACAAACACGATCCAAAAACAGGGTGCATGAGCAGAAAGACCTATAGCAATAGCAAAATGATTCATACTTACACATTTATACATACATGCTACATAAACCCATACATATACATACATACTTTTGAGACTTCATTTGGTTTTTTAAAAATTTCAGAGTGAAATGCTTGATAGTTCTTTATTTAGTGACTTTAAAATGCCAGTAGGGTCTCTGTGGTAGTATAGGCATTTAAAACAACAATAGCAAAATGGCTATTGCTATAGGTCTTTCTACTCATACATCTCTTTTCTTTTTCTTACCTTTTCTGAGACAGAGTCTTCCAGCCAGACTGGAGTACAGTGATGCGATCTCGGTTCATGGCAACCTCCACCTCCTGAACTCAGGTGATCCTCCTATGTCAGCCTACCAAGTAGCTGGGACTACAGGCACATGCCACCACACCTGGCCAATTTTTGTATTTTTAGTAGAGACGTGGCTTTAGCCATATTGGCCAGGCTGGTCTTGAACTCCTTGGCTAAAGTGATCCTCCCACCTTGGCATCTCAAAGTGCTGGGATCACAGTTGTGAGCCACCACGCCTGGCCCAAACTACCAATTTGTATAGGGTTATGCTAAAACATTTATTTTGTGGACAAGGGCATTCTCGTTATATGTTCCCAAACAGAGAATCCTACAGGACTTTCCATCGGTTTTTAATCTTGCTGGATCTCCTGATTTATGCAAGGAAAGGCTACGATTTTTACATATAAATACTTCTAAAAAACTAAGATTCATACATACACATTCATACAACCCTATTTAGTGCCATGTGGAAAATAAGACACTGAGTGCTAATTCCATATTCAGATTCAGAAAATTATAATTTTCTTGCAAATCTACTTTTTCTAAATTTGTTAGTCTTATATGTTTTGCTTGTTAAAATCCATTTTCATGTACATGCATACATTTGGGACTTCATTTGCCTTTTTAAAAATTTCAAGTTAAAAGTGAAATGCTTGATAGTTCTTCATTTAGTGACTTTCAAATGCCAGTTGGGTGACTGTGATAATAGGCATTTAAAACAGCAGCATAAAAGCAGTGTAAAGAAGGAACAGGGTGAATAGATTTGATCTACACAGCCATGTGATTTATAAACCCACAAATTCGTGTTGACTTGGAGCATTCACAGTGGATAATGGATTTAAATTAGCCATTGTTAAAGAGACTCACTGGAGGCAAATGGACTGTCAACATTAACAGATAATGTGGGTGATGAAGAATATTCGTTACATAAAAGAGAAGAAATTTTAAGGAAAAAACTGTTTTCTTTCTCAAGGATGATTATATCAGCCAAAAGGTGAGTTTTCTTAACAAACCAAAGGGAAGATTTTTAAGTTGCTGTTCACTTTAAGCAGTTTCTATTTTTTGTGCTACCTAGGACCTTTTCATATCCAGTTATATTACTGAATATAAAATACTGAAGGTAGGCGTAGTCTTATTTTACTGCTGGAAAAATTGAGGCCCAGATTTGCTTCAAGTCATCTGTTGAGTTTGTAGCAGAGCTGGGACTGGTGCTCAAATTTTTAAATCTCTTCTATTGAAAGACCCTTCACCTCCCCCATGAAATCTTCATCTAAGAAAAATATCGTGCCCTGTGAGTTTGAATCTCCCGTTAAACCTTATTTAGTGCCATGTGGAAAATAAGATACTGAGAGTTAATTCCAGATTCAGATTCAGAAAATTATACTTTTCTTACAAATCTAACTTCTTATTCCAAATTCGTTAGTCTTATATGTTTTGCCTGCGAAAATCCATTTTCATACACCTGTTTTTAAGTGTAATAATTGTGCTAAAGGGATTGTGTTCTCCAGAGTTTTACCTTGGGAAAATCTGTAGTAGTGTAGTTTCTAGGAAATGCTAATTCTATAATTTTAAATTGAAGTTCATAGATGAAAATCATAACTTCACCAGCTATCTAACCACCCAGGAAAAGTTGGTGTCAAAACAAATGACTATTGTTCACTTCATTACTCACATGACCATAACTCACTTTTTGTCCAGGAGAAGAGTCAGCCTTTTGTAAACTAGTGAGACAGGAAATAAATGAAATCTAGTATAATGAGATTGGCATTTAACTTCAGCCCCTTCAGGACAATGAGAACTGACTGTTATTTCTCTTCTAAATATCCTCTCTATTGCCCTAACTTTATTATTCTATTCTGTATGACTCTTTATTCTATTCTATACTATTATATTCTTTATTCTCAAAGGACAGAATTGCAAATACTAGCTAAACTAAACTCTCTAAAGAGAAAATGCAGAAAACATCTAATACTTAGCAAAGAAGGGTTGATTAAAAGATAAGAGAAAAAAAGGCCATGTGGATCTTTTATTAAACTTAGCAGAAAGTTTAATGTTGTTTTAGAACAGAGACCAACAATTTGATGCAAAGTGTTAAAATTCACATTTTCAGAACTAGTAAGGGCAAGAAACGTGTCATAGGAGGAAAACTAGGAGGAAGAAAAGTTATCAAAGAAAGCAAAATTATTTAACACATCAGGACATAATAATGCTTTTCTTTTTACAACTCAAAAGAGGCTCAAATATATGGCAAACTGGCTATTACTCTGGTTTGGAAGAATGTAAAAAAATGTGATGTTTGGCCAGATTTTAGGGAACCTTCACATTTTCACTGACATTAGAATTTTAGTAAGAAGCTTTATTTTAGGTTAAAATTATATCTAGGCTCGTTAAGAAATAAAGCATTGATGAGCTGCTGTTTGACCTAGAGAAGAACCTGACACTTAGATGAGAGCCAGCACTGCAAAATATTCTAATATACCTAGCAATAAACAAGGCCAGGATGCCATGCATTGCTCTAGTCACATACACAATGTGTTAAAACTGTCATTGCAAGGTCATATTTCACAACCCTTGTGTTTCCACCGGGGGAATGTAAACCTTCTTAACAATTGCAGACATTGAGAAACAGATGTTGGCTCTGTTGTATCATAACAGTGTGTCCATTCATATCAGCATATTCACTTGAACTTAGTATCAACTTAGTATGACTGTGTAACTCATTTTAGTGTTGAGAAATATCCACAGTGCATAAAATGGGAGCTTTGCTTACTTGCTTAAAAATTTACTGCAGTCAACACACTGGCTAAAGACAAAGCTGTTAAATTTTCTAGGTTTTTCTCTGCAGCTGAACCTCAAAGGAATGTAAAATACCTTCTTACCACGTGTATGTTGGAACATGACCTGGGACATAGCCTGCACTCTGTGATTAGATGTGCTGCACAGTTTCTTCTTTAGGTTCCCAGGGACTATAAGGTTTAGGAAAATACAATCTCTTGAGTCAGCTTGGCGTCTCTACTGGCAGAACTGGGTGCCCACCAGGTACAATGACACCTTTATTTAAAGATGACAGTTGTCTGCTCTCCGAAAGCCATTAGCAGAAGATTATCTTTTTGTTTCTCTTCTCATTAAAATTTGTTTTAACATCAAAGGTGGGAAAAGTAGAAATCACTTCAAAAATCAGGCATACAATTGGATGGCATGCTGTTCTACCCTGAGAGTGTGCCAGTGTTACCATTCTATTCAGCCACATCCAATGGTGTTGGAGTGAATAGGCTTCTGAGAGAGAAATCCGAAAATTTGGAACCTTCATCCCTAAAATATATTAGACAACTTACATAAAAATGGAAATAATATCTACCTCTGCTTAATGGACAGGGATGCAGTGTGGCAAAAATGTGGAAGAGGGGAGGAGAAGTGCGGTAAAGAGAGAGATTTCCTAGGTAAATCTTTCTTAGTAGGTTTTTATAACAGAGTAAAAATCAAACATTGTTGTAAGAAAGTACAACTCAGGCTTTTATGAGTCGCAGTCCATTGTACCTGAAAGACCGGTTCTTTAATTTAATTTTCTAGGCAAGTATAGAAACACCTACAGCAAACCAGCACCACTATCTGTCTTTGTTCTACTCCTGATAAAGTCTTTTGTTAAATCTAGTATACGCTTTCTGAATTCCCCTTATACAATAGTAGTTGTATAAGTCTACTTAAAGTGATTTTTAATATAGTGGTTTTCCTCAAAAGCATTAAACCCAGGTGATATAATGTTCAGCGACAATGCAAATCACCAAGAATGTGTTAAAGACTTAAGGTCCTCTTCCAGGAGCCCTCAAGTCTATATGAGGTGCTAGAACACAAGTTCTCAACGACTTTCTTACTTCCACATTATCAAGTGTGGAAGTCCTCCATGAGTTTCCTTATTCACTGTAAGGAGTATGACAGTTTTTTTCCTTTCTGCCCCTTTTTGAGGTCATGGGTATTTTTTTAAATTTATTTTTTGATCGACAAAAATTGCATATTTTATGGTGTGCAACATGATGTTTTGATGTATGTATACATTGTAGAATGGCTAAATCAAGCTAATTAGCATATTCTACAGGCATTTTTGTTGCTGTTGTTGCTATGGCTACCAGCGTTGTTATTTCTAATACCTTCTTCATAGCAAATGAGACCAAGGCATTCCCAAGTGTGATCTTGAATTCAATAAAAACTAAAAAACTTATTAAGGCTTAGAGTTGAAAAGGAGCTTAGAAGTCATCTAGTCCAACTCATTCAACATACAGATGGGGAAACTGAAGTCTAAAGAGGTGGGACGAAATGTAATAA